TTGCTTCCAAGCTCCACTGCAGTGTCCATTGACAGACAGCGGGACTCAGACCCACCCCCTTTTTCCTGGCTTCCATTGATAGCAGCGGGAGGCAATGGCTCCCAGTGCCCCAGCAAAGCCAGTGAGGACTGGAAGTGGGGGGAGAGAAGATTAGCAGACATGTACAGCGGTGGATTGAATGCGTGTTCAAATAAGTAAGGGGGGGGGGTGTCGAGGATACTGATGTCTTAACATTTTTTACCTTATTGCAAAGAATGCATTAAGGCAATAAGTGGTTAGGCTTTATACTTTATTCCTCTTGAACGGGAACGGCACTAGTGGTGCACCGAAATGAAAATTCTGGAGCCGAAACCGAAAAATCAAAATGCACTTGGCCGAAAACCGAAATCAGCAGTTTTTCAAAATGAATATATATTTTTTGGAAAAAAAATACCCTTTGATTAAAAAAAAACAAAAATAAATTTTTTATGTAAAACATGAAAGATGATGTTACGGCGAATAAATAGATACCCAACATGTAACACTTTACAATTGCGCACACTCGTGGAATGGCATGAAACTGCTGTACTTAAAAATCTCCATGGGTGATGCTTTAAAAATTTCTACAGGCTGGTAGTGTAAAGTTACAGAGGAGGTCTAGTGCGAGAATCATTGCTCTTATCTGACATTCGTGGCGATACCTCACGTGTGGTTTGAACACCATTTACATATGTGGGCATGCCCTACAAATGCGTTCACCACTATGTGCGAGGACGGGGGCACTCAATAAGACTCCACATCTCTCCTCCGCAATGTAAAGCATTAGATCAAAAAAAAGCATTGATCTAGTGCAGTGGTCGGCAAGCCGTGGCTCGCAAGCCACATGCGGCTCTTTACAAACTTTAATGCGGCTCTTCTGTGTGCCGGGCGCCCGCTCCCCTCCCTCCTCTCGGGCGGCCGCCCCAAAAGTCAGGACTCTGCAGCTAGCCCAGCAATGGGCAAACTACGGCTCGGCGGACCTTTTAATCCGGCCCGCGGAGCGTGGCAAACATTGGCTGTCAGGATGTAGGCGGGGCAGCGTGACGAACTCCTCTCCTCTCACAGTCCGCCCTGAAGACCGGAACGGCGCGGGAACACGGCGAGAGGAACGCGCGGAGCAAAGGTAAGTGAATTGACACAATAGGGGGAATGAATTACTATAGGGGGGATGAATTACTATATGGGGGGGATGAATTACTATATGGGGGGGATGAATTACTATATGGGGGGGATGAATTACTATATGGGGGGGATGAATTACTATATGGGGGGGATGAATTACTATATGGGGGGGATGAATTACTATATGGGGGGATGAATTACTATATGGGGGGATGAATTACTATATGGGGGGATGAATTACTATATGGGGGATGTATTTTCAGTTTTAAAAATGTGGCTCGCAAAATAAATTTCAATTGTGGTTTTGGCGAGATTTGGCTCAGTTGAAAAAAAAAGGTTGCCCACCACTGATCTAGTGCTTTAAATAAAAAAAATTGTCCGGAACCGGAAGTGACATCGCTGTGGTCCTCCAAGGGCAAAGAGATGAGTGGAGGCCATCTTTCCTTTACTAATTTCTATGCCCAGCGCCGGGATCGTTCGATGGTTTCTCAGGTAAGACTGGGAACTACCAAGCGGCAGCAGCGAGGGGCGGGGTTTTTCGGCATCTGTATCGGTGCTTCTTTTCATAGCGGCCAATGGCCAAAAGGGGTGTTTTCGGCCAAAACGTTTTGGTGCATCCCTACAATAGATGGATTAAAATTCAGCCTGTTCCTGGAAAACTGGCTGAATTTTGATCCATCTATGGCCAGCTTAAAGCAGAAATAAACCCATAATTTACCAGTTTTTAAAAAAAACCAGCTACATTCCTGGCATGTCAGGAATGCTGTCACATTTGCGTGTGCTTTCAGCCAAACTCTCCAATGGCTAGTGTCATAACTGATCACATGTGCAGTACCCTGGCAGTTGCAGATCAAACAGAGGCCAAGATGGCAGCTTCCTTGGCTGAAAAGAACAGGAGGGGTTTAGTTCCACTTTAGGCTGGTGACACATTTGAAACCAAGATCAAGAACATGGGGACATGACCTCAAATTAGGAGGAGAAAAGTTCAAAACTAACCTTAGAAAATTATTATTTTACCAAAATACTAGTTGATGTCTGCAATAGACTTTCAGCACAGGTAGTGAGTCAGTAAACAGTAAGTGGTTTCAAACACACCTGGGACAAAGATCTATACAAAAAAGTAAAACAAACACATACATGTATTAATTTAAAAAAATGGGGCAGACTTGATGGTTGGTCTTTTTTCTGCTGTCACTCTTCTATGTTTCTACATTTGCAATTTTCTTGCAATGAATACTAGCTCCCCACCCCACATTTTGTTACTCATTTGGCTGGGAGGTGGAACCAGCTGCCGGTCAGGCATCTGGGTGGATTCTGACATTAAAGTGTTACTAAATCCAGGACCCTGCATTCACTATATCTGGTCTCTCACAGTACAACAACATGGAAATGCAATTCTTTTAGTAAATATAAACTGCTAAACACCTTTTCTCCTCAGCAGTTAGAGCAGTCTTGTGACTTCTATCAGTGTTCAGTAGAGCAGTGGTAAAGCCTGTAGGAGGAGTTTTCATTCTCCTCCGATTGTCCTATGAGATTACATAACTCCTGACCCTTTGTCTGGACAATGCTGATTGGCCCTGTGCCGATCACATGCACTCTCCCAAGAAAAAGAAAAAACTCTAGCAGTACACACCAAACTAAGCATGTGCAGTGTCCCTGAGGCTGTGTTCTATCAGGCAATGAAATGGGGAACCTGGAAGAAGGGGAGGATCAGAGAAGACAGGACTAAACACCTTTTTTACACTATGCAGAGGATTGACCCCTTAAGTTCCACAGTGATTTTATCAAGCATGCTTTACTGCAGTACAGACTGATTTTACTGTTGTGAATTTAGTAACACTTTAAAGTCAGGATCTCTCCAGAGCCTGGACCGGCTCTTTGACATCAGCAATGATCGGACTTTAGCCCGCTTTCAGCTGAATATGGGACACAGGAGTGCAGAAAGAAGCGGACTCTTGTGTCCCACAGAAGAAATACAGTCAAAAGAGCTTTGGCCCTACGTCTCCTTTAGGGCCCGTTCACACTTTAGTGCTGAGCTGCGTTTTTCTGCAGAAGAAAAACACCTCTCTGCAAAGAGAACACAGAAAAAAAGAATCCTTTTCTATGTGGCCTGTTCACATTTCCCGCAGCTGTCACCTGTAAGGCAGAGTGGTGCGGAAATCTGTAACAATGCTGCAGATTTTAGGTCTCTGTGTAACCCTGAGTTTTTATGTGTGGTTGCTCAGCTGAGCAGACGTGCATATAAATTAATGGAATGTAACTTTGTGACGTTCCATTAACGTTTAGAGGAAAAAAAAAAAACAAAAAAAAAAAAAACAACACAGGAAACAGTGCCTTGTAATGTAAAATCGCAAAGCACAGCCCCCGTCTGCCAGAAGCTGCGGTCACTACCTGCCGAGAAAAATGTAACGTTTTTCTCCACGAGTCGTGTGAACCTGCCCTTTAGCAGTTTTCTAGGAAATGTTGCAGCAATCATTGTGCTTCTCTACAAATCATAAAGAAGAGCGATTTGTAGCAAAGCACAATCCACTGCTATAGCCAATCACCAGCAACTCTAACGATAAAACTGCCAGCTCTTAATGGCTAGCATTAGTGACTGGTAGCAGTGCTGCAAAAAAGGGTCACCCGTGTTATCAGCTTAACCATTTCCCTGCTGCCCTATAGCAGAAATACTGCTACAGGGTGGCAGGGCTGCGCAAAATCATGTATTTATACGTGACTTTGCATTTCCAGGTAGGTGGCTGGCCATTGGTGGCTACAGATGTCGATTGCCAGGTCCCAGCCGGAGATTTCCCGCTGGCACCCGGCGATTGCCGAGAAACAGTGACAGGGGACAGACCTGTGTGTAAACAACGTAAGTCTGTCCACTGCCAGCAGTAACATCCTGCTGTATATTTCTCTTGCTGTATAGTAGCATGTGTCTCTAGTAAAACACACACAGCACATACAGTAAAAATAGCACACAGTTAACCCTTTGATCGCCCCAGATGTTATCCCCTTCCTGCCCAGTGTCATTAGTACAGTGACAGTGCTTTTTATTAGCACTGATCACTATATTGGTGTCACTGAGGATGTCAGTGGCAGTTAGTTAGTCAGTCAGTCGCCCCCCCCCCCCCCCCCGTGTCAGAAAGACCACCGCAGTCCTGCTATAATTTGCTGATCGCCGCCATTACTAGTATTAAAAAAAAAAAAAAAAAAAAAAAAATTCCCCAGGATCTATACCACCATTTGTAAACGCTATAACTTTCACGCGAACCAATTAATTTACACGTATTGAGATTTGTGGTTTTTTTTTTTTTTTTTTTTTAGCAAAGACATGTAGCAGAATACATTTTGGCCTAAATTTATGACAAAATTTAATTTTAAATTTTTTTTTTACTGGACATGTTTGATAGAAAAAAGTTAAATTTTTTTTCAAAATTGTCAGTCTTTTTTGGTCATGGCGCAAAAAATAAAACCGCACAGGTGATTAAATACCACCAAAAGAAAGCTTTATTTGTGGGCAGAAAAAAAGGTTGTAAATTTAATTTGGGTGCAGTGTTGCATGACCGCGCAATTGTCAGTTAAAGTAATGCAGCGCCGTATTGCAAAAAATGGCCTGGTCAGGAGGGGGGGGGGGGGGGGGTAAATCCTGTGGAGGGCAAGGGGTTAAAGTGATTAGAAGGGCATCAGAGGCTAGGTAATAAGCACAACACACTTCCATCTGCCCACTACGAGCCTAGAATAGGATGGTCTCTTCTTCCACAAGTGAAGCGTACACTGCGGACTGTCCATGGTGAGTGATGAATGCCAGCTCCACACTTGTCTCTACAATGACCCACACCTCCAACACAGGCAACCCAAACTCCATACGATACAACCTGGCTAGGGGAGGCGAATGTGAAGCTCATGCCCGACGCCCCACTGGGTGCAGCTTCAGCGTAGCTTCGTACATGACGGGGTACAGCACAACGGATCAAACGAACAGCCCGAGAGGACATCATGGTGAAGCCGGGAACTACTCTGACCGAAGCCAAGGGCACCGGATACCAAGACAGACCGCCGCGCGGGAGCTCACGGGAATTGCAGTGTGACCCTGTGCCTCACCGCACCGCCCACTGCCTGACGCAGACTACATGTCCCGGCGTGCAATGGGGTAACGCTGGCGAAGCGAAACTCAGGTTGCATGTCAGGACAGCCAATTGCTGCGAGGAGTGTAATGTGTAAATAAAGGTTTATTGAAAGTCCAGCTTATACAGGCTTGTTGTTTGTAAGGGGAAAATACCGGCATAATCGATATATGTTTTTGCAGTCTAGAATCTTTCCTTTGCAAAGTCTCTTACCTGAAAAAAATGCCAGTAATGGCATTTCCTGTGCCGGGCTGACAGTACTAAGACACTGCTTGGAAATTAGGCCCACTTCATATGGGGCATACTAAATCGTACAGCGGTGGAGGGCCGCGTTTACCAGATGCACAGGGCATCTATGCAGTGACTGCACAGGAAGAGATGCTGCTCCCAATTTGTGGCCTCTTTCAGCCCAGGTTCACATTGATGTGCGAAATTCACACCGGTTTCTGTGTGATTTCCCTACCACATCATAATCGCACCCCGTTCATACGAACCACTGCAGGTATGTATTTTAAGTTAACATCCCGAAATAAGTTCGTGAAATGCGGTGCGATGTGAATATTGGGATCGCATGGGTGTTCTGATTCTGGTGCGGACAAAAATAGGCTCCTGCCCTCATTTGGTGCGGATGTGGAGCGATTTGAGCCATACAAAATGTTTGGCTCAAATTGCACTGCACAGAAATCGCATGTGATTTGCACAGGAATGTAATGCAGTTCCTGTGCGAATCACGTAATGTGCCGCACCGCATCAGTGTGAACCTGGGCTCAGTCTAGGTTCACACCTAAGCATTTTTCAGAAACACCCTACAGTCCATTTAACATGATTTCCTATGGGACACGTTCACATCTCCGTGTTTTCTCCTGGTGCGTTTTTTGAAAAAAGGTCAGGGAATTTTTTAACCTGTTCCCAAGCGCGCTATAGCCGAAGGACAGCTACAGCATGGGTTGCGTAATCCTGGGACAACAGCCATGGACATCATTCCAGATCAAACCCCCCCCCTGCGTGCACCCAGAAGGGCGTACCAAGCGCCACCAGTGATCGCTGTGTCCTACTGACACAGCTGATCACGTGATACGGTAAATGGCCAATCACGGCGGCCTTTTACCACATGATCAGCTGTGTCCAATGACACAGCAAATCACCGGGAAAATACAGTTGCCATTAGTGCTACCCACCTGTGCCCTGCAGCGACACCCATCTGTGTCCATCAGTGCCACCCACCTATGTCCTACAGTGCCGCCTATCATTACTGCCCAGCAGTGCCACCCATCAGTGCCCAGCAGTGTTGCCCATCAGTGCAGCATCATCAGTGCCGCCTTTCAATGCAGCATCATCAATGCCGCCTATCAGTGCCCATCAGTGCTGCCTATCCATGTCACCTCATCAGTGCTCCCTATCAGTGCCCATTGTGACGATTGCGGCGTCAGACCCCAGCCCTTCTCACCAAACTCGTGACCGAAGGACTAGCCAATCTAAAACCGCGCTGTCACGTGCGTAACAATGCCACGCCCAGCTGCACTCTGCACAAAGGTTTTCCAGCTAGTGGACCACAATCCGTGTATCTGCAACCTGGGAGCGATTGTTACTGGGTCAGGTTAATTACGCAATTAACCCTTCAGACTGCCACCACGTCCTTTTTGTACAGAGAAAGGAAACTCGGCAATATCAGCAATAAAACTATGATGTTTGCATAAGCGTCGGTATACCACTGTCACCGCAGGCAGGGTATACAGAGGTTTAAAACATACACACAGTAGCGCTCTTCAGAGGCAGGGATTCTTAGTTTGCATTAAAGAGCTTTAGAAACAGTTCAACACTTTCAGAAAGTAAGATTTATTACTAAAAGGTCAAAAGGGTGCAATAAAAAAATATTTACAGAAAAAAGATGTAGCCAAATATATATATAAATATACAGAGAGCAATAGCACAGCAAAGAGATAACAGAAAGGAATTTAGATAGATAAATTACTTGCCGTCAGCCTTGGTATAAGCAGATCAAGTTTCCTGAGTAAAAGGGCTTGCATCTCCCAAAGTTCCGATGTTAAAAGGGAGCTTCTTCTATGAACTCAGCAGGGTGTCTCCCTGAAGCAGAGAACCAATCGCCTCATTTGGGCGGGTGTTGCAGGCGGAGACCCAAGCTATGACCAAAAACTCTCCCATTTGATGTCATGGTTCATAACTTATTCTCGGTGCATTTAGCAGAATTGCCACTAGTACATTAATATGCAGACGCATCTGCTGAACGGTTAGATATGAAATATGACATACCTGCTTGGATGGTTAAGGAGATATAATTTTATGCTCTCCTGTATATGCCAGCTAGGGGATGTAATATATCAGGTGACTTGTATTAAAGTGAGCCGTCCGAATATGTGCTCCATATTTATGTAATTATGTCCTATTTGAAGATATAAAATTATATGAAAAAGTGAGTTTTTAAATGTGAGTCTGTTTTTACGACTACCTGGAATGTCTTTGAAGCTCAGTGAGGGCTTGGTTTATGGTTTTACGATCCCTTCTCCAGTAAGAGTCTCGCAGACATAGGGGCACCAGCTAGTGGGGTTTATAGCCATGACGCCCTCCCAATGAGTTTGCTGCCTGTGATCTCTGTCATCATCCAGACCACATGTCACTCAACAGAGAGGGAGGGGGGATATCGGAGGAATCTGATTTGGGAGAGAGAGATACAAGATGGAGGGGTTTGGAGCACAATGGATGACCGCATCCATCTCTGTGTGCATGATTGCTAAACCTCCCCCCTCAGGTGGTTGCATGGGAGGGGACTGCAATTTCCCTCCTGACGCAACCGACTTCTGACACTGGTTTGCCTGACCAGGGCACAGACCCATTCTGCCCAGAGGTCCACCTTGGGGTGATCTGGTACCACTGCACCCAGCAACACTGTTGTGCCCACCAAGTGAGCTGTCAGGGGTGAGCACCAGTCGGCTGTGACTCTCTGGATATCGTGGCAACTGCCATGGTGCCCACCTGTTCACACAACACTTCTGTTCAGGGGTGTCATATGCTAACATATTGAGATGTAGCTTCTTGTCGAGGTAGAGAATGAGATTTCCCTCCCCAATCTCCTTCCTCAGGCCCAGGACTACATCTGTAGTAAAGGTAATGGCACCTGTGTGCACCAGAACCGGACAGGCGAAGTCTGGAACTCGCCTTCCAGATGTGTCTACAGCAGTGTTTCTCAACTCCAGTCCTCATGGACCCCCCCAACAGGTCATGTTTTCAGGATTTCCATTATTTTGCACAGGTGATTTGATCAGTTTCACTGCCTTACTTAATTATCACAGCTGTTTCATCTGAGGGAAATCCTGAAAACATGACCTGTTGGGGGTCCATGAGGACTGGAGTTGAGAAACACTGGTCTACAGGTACTGTACCTTCGTCCAGGATGAACAGTCCTCTTTACCTGCTAGCATCCAGGACACCATTTCCATCAGTTTCCTGTCTGCTAGGTCAGTCACAGGTTCAGCTGAGCCATGATAGTTGCACCCAGGCGTCTTACTGTAGCTAGCTGCACCCAAGACTGACGTAACCTGCTTTTTGGCCTGGGGAGCAGACCAGGCCACCACTGCCTCAGTCTCCCCATGCCCAGACCTCTGGGGGTCTCTTTCTACCGGTGGTTCCCAAAGCTGAACCACTGACATGCCCCTCTGACAGTTACCCTTCTCAGCTGTCAGAATAGGCCCGGGCAGTTGGTTCCTGACTAGTGACAGGGGCCCAAGTTGCTCTTCCCGGACCGGGCCGAACACTGCAAGGCTCTAAAGTGGGCAACTGCACACAGTTCCATTCCACATTGTAGGTCATTCCTGACCCCTGGGGAGGTGGTTGGTGCGTTCTCAACCCCAGCTAGCTTTCCCGTGAATTCAGGCAAGCCACATGGGGTGGTGATGGCTGACTCGTCCTGAGCCTCCTGGGTTAGAGATGGGGGCCCATACCCTCTGCTCAGGTCCATGATGGTTAGACAGCGGGAACCGGCCGGATGCTTTATTACCTCCTGGCTCCTGGGCATGGGGCAGGCCACAACCACAGGGCTGGTGCTCAGTTTTCCAAGGTCCTCACAAGGCCAGGTCATCTGATCCTGTTTGGGGACCAAGACTACCGGTCATGCACAGACTCTGCGGGACCCCTGGATCCCTGACTGCGCTAATCCCTCTGTCTCTTTGGCCCATTCAGTCTGCACCTCCTGTGAGATGAGGTGGGCCGAAGGCATGAGGGAAGGATACACCCTGCCGTCCAACTCATGAACAGCACGGTGAGCTCTCCCCGGTTTCCCTGAACCCAGACACCATCTACCATAGGCCTTGCCAGCAGCTTCTGCACCTGAATAGAAAGGAAAGGTGATTGGAGCTGAAGGCCAAAGCTCCCTCTCTGAGGGCCGGCTATCAACTCCAATGAGTCCCATTGCACTTCCAACCTAGGTGTGCTGTTACTGCCTATGACATATGTCTGTCTGCCTGGTGTTTGGGGAGGGAATCTAAGCCAGAAATAGTTGGAGGGGGTGTCCTCCCTGGCTTCAGATCTTCCCCACACACTTTGACTGGCAAGATCAGGTGACACTCTTTCAGTCCCCAAGCCCCCTGCTGGTAGACCATTCATTTCACTGTCCCTGTCAAACCATTGTTTACCTTCTCAGCAGACTGTTGTGTACCTTTCTCAGCAGGGAAGCTCACAGCTTGCTTTCTGCTGAATGCAACATGTTGGTCACTCCTCTTTGCTGCCTCGGCCGTGGGACTACAAGTACCAACCGGCTATCCAGTACAATGCAAGGACAACGGCTGGGTAATTATCAAGGTAGAATACTCTGTGCCTGAGCAAGGAAAAGGCCTATCCAGACCATCCCTTTGCTCAGCTCC